CCCAGCCCAACCCATCTCATGACCTTGCCTTACATGAACTGAGTTTGCAGGATTCCATTTTGATAAACACTCAATTCTTTTATCCCAAATAAACGTTCATCTTTATTCAGTATTCTGGAAGAAAATGAACCATATTTTCCACTATCCAACAAATATAATCTGAATGGAACAAAACCATTGACAGCATATTGATATAGCGTTAGAATTCTAGCTCTCCAAAGGGAAACAATGGCATGAATTTTTCTGGAAGAATCAGTCTAGAATGATATTAATTGTAAATAGTGGGAATATACAATCAATAGGACTAAATTAGTAAAAATTATCATTTCAATTTTTTAAATAACGGTGTGTGAAAAGTGTGACTTTGCATGGAAGGGGCTGCTCAGGGTGAGTGAGACAAAACTGTGGACTTTTCTTTTTTTACATTGTTTGTTGTTTGGAGAGTTGAGGGGCACAAAGGCTGTTCTAATGTTCTACAGTAGATGCTTAAGGTAACAGTGCAATCTTTAACACTGTAATTCCAAAACTGGATCCTGTCCCTGTTAATTTCAGAATGGAGTTCTTGACATGGTGTTTAACGTTTGAAGTGACCTTCAAGTTAACCAAAGTAAAGTTGTCAACCAAAGTTGATAAAAATAAAATGAAATAACCAAGGGGTTTCATCCCTTGAAATTGATTAGGCAAGCACAACTTACAAGAGCAAATTTCTCCTAGAAGAAAATATATCATAGAATTAGTTTTTTGTCCTTTTGTTAAATGATATATATTTCTGCAAATCAGTATATTCGGTAGGAATGGTATAGTAAATAATATTCTTGGAAATGGTCAGTAAAGGTGAATGTCTAAACCAGGGGTAGGCAACCTTGACTCTTTTATGACTCGTGGACTTCAACTCCCAGAATTCCTGAGCCAGTGCTGGCTCAGGAATTCTGGGAGTTGAAGTCCACGAGTCATAAAAGAGCCAAGGTTGCCTACCCCTGGTCTAAACAAAGACTTGCGTTGTTAGCATTTCCTAAGCTTCATTTAAGAATCAAGTGCAGATAGTCCTTAGGTTATTACTATAACTGAGCACCACAATTTATGGTAATAAGTTGTGGCTCTTATTAAACTGGATCACCATGTGATTGGACCCAATTTTACAATCTTTTTTGCAGCAATTGTTAAGCAAATGTGGCAGTGATTAAGTAAACCCATTGTTTCCTAAGGGGCAAATTTCCCCTCCCCCCAGAAACCATAAATAAATGTTGGTTTCTGGCAAAAGCACGATAAATTGTGGGTCATGTGACCATGGGGCATTGCAAATGGCCGTAAATGAGGCCTGGTTGCTCAGAGCCTAAAATGCAGTCACATGTTCACGGGGGGGGGGGAATGAATGCCAGAAGTTCAAAACTGGGTTGTAAGTTCCTTTTTTAGGGTCCATTGCAACTTCAAACAGTTGCTAAGCAACTGGTCATATGTTGAGGGCTATCTTTATTGGGGGGGGGGCTTTGGAAGTATTATTTTCATGTGACCAAGCTTGTATTGCTTATTTTTACCTCTTTTGTTATCATCTGTTCTAGCCATTGTGGTCCAGAGTTCATCCTCTGAGTGTGAAATTCTTGTTTCAATTTTTAATTTATAAATGGAATTATTAGATCGTTTTGGGGTCATCTCTGCCTCCCAGCCTCCATTTCCTATTTGTGAATGGTGTCAGTGATTAACTGTATCACAAAACTGTGAGGATCGAAGTGAGGAAGTCATGCAACTCTCAATCTTCAGACTTAAGGAAAGCAATAATTACCAGCCTTAGAGTGGTTCTATTGCTGAATGACGATGATCAATAATGCAGTATCAGTTTTATAAAATTCTCTTTCTCTCACTGCCTCCCTTTTGCTCTCTTCTCAGTTTGAGATCCAGTGGCTGATGATTCATTGTGACCCTCGGCGTCCTCAAAGGGAAACATGCAGTGAACTCACCATCAGGAGCTCGGTAATCTTAAGGGCAAACCTTGCTTTTCAACTTTGGAATACAGGTAGTCCTCGACTTACGACCATAATTGAGCCCAAAATTTCTGTTGTTAAGTGAGGCATTTGTTAAGTGAGTTTTGCCCCATTTTACAACTTTTCTTGCCACAGTTGTTAAGTGACCCACTGCAGTTGTTAAGTTAGTAACACAATTGTTGAGTAAATCTGGCTTCCCCATTGACTTTGCTTGTCAGAAAGTCACAAAAGGTGATCACAGAACCCTGGGACACTGCAAAGGTCATAAATATGAACCAGTTGCCAAGCATCTGAATTTTTGGTCATGTGATCATGGGGATGCTGCAAAGGTGGTAACTGTGAAAAACGGTCATAGGTCAGATTTTTCATTTTTGCCGTTGTAATTTTGAACGGTCACTAAACAAACTGTTGTAAGTCGAGGATTACCTGTATTCAAACTGCCATAATATAGTTCCCTTTTAAAGCAAAGCTTTAAGAAGTACATAAATTCAGGATGGGAAGATGTCTCTCCTTGTCCAATGAAGCCCTTTGCAGCACAGATCGAGACAAGCACTAGGCAGAAAGTGCTCAATGCTAAACGTAGGGCAAAGGGTTAAAAAGCTGGAGTCATTCAATCCCTCCTTTCTAGACATCAGGTTTCCTCCAGTCTAGCTACCCTCCTCCAACACTCACCCGCACAACAGCTGTGCTTTTTGCCGGTTGTGCAATTTGGAGGTAATTGGAGGGGTTCAGTAACCTTAAAAATCCATCTGTGGCCATTGAAGGAGTAACCATGGCTAGCTCGGGCTCCTGCACAAAGCTTCCCTGGTTCATGTGGATTTTTCTGCAAGTCATTTGCCTTTGTCTAACACAAGTAAGTTATGCCTAACTTTTTTTATTATTTTTTTCAGATAAGTCAGACAATCGTAAAGGTAAGTCTTAAAACTAGAAGGATTCTTAACTCAGATGAAGCAGGTAAAAAGTTCCTGTAAACTCCTTGCTCTTTGATTCCATTTTGGATTGTCAAACAGTGTGTATATTTCTAGTGATGCTGCTATATTGGAGAAGATATGGGATCTGTTATGCCCAGCTGGAGAGCTTCGTAGGGGAAGTCAGAAGCCACTGTAAAATATACTGCTTGACATATCATGGTTTGAAGCTGCACTGAGTTATTTTTCCTGGTTGGTGAGGCTTCACGGGGACCCTATATGCCATTCAGAGTAATCTAACTAAGGTCAACAAGTATGATTAGGTTGGGATCCATTCTACCAGTTTTGATGCTTCCCTCCCCCAGATATATTTGGTACCCTTCTGCCTTAAACCAGATTTTTTAGTCCAAGGAAACTCATTTGTTTTAATTCAGTGCAATCCACAAAGGATTAAGTTAGGTGGGTTAATTATCACTTCAGTTCCCTAAGTAAATCTTTTTATAATTACAAACAGGATAATAAAAGGGATCATTTCCTCCACATTTATGCGTAACAAGGGCTTCCAACTGATCCTGGTGATTATGAATATAGCGCCAAAATTGATTTTTTAAAAATTAATTAACTTATAGTGATATACACAGGTAATAGAATAGAGCTGAAAGGGACCTTGGAGATCTTCTAGTCCAGCACCCTGCTTAAGCAGGAGAACCTATACCAGTGATGGCGAACCTTTTAGAGACCGAGTGCCCAAACTGCAACCCAAAACCCACTTATGCATCGTCGGGTGCCGGGTAGGTGTGGCCCATTGGCTGGGTGTGGCCCATTGGGTGGGCGTGGCTGTGGTGGTAATGGCAGACTGGATGGGACTAAAAAGTTCAATCAATCAATTCCAACTTTGCAAGATCTTTTTTTTCCCGCAAGAAGTTGAAATTGACTGATTGACCTTTTTTTTTTTGCACATGGCGGCAGAGGCCTAAAGCGAAAAGGTTTTATAAAACCCAGCTGAAGGCCTAGGACCGGGGCGACGGCGCGCGTGCCCACAGAGAGGGCTCTGAGTGCCGCCTCTGGCACCTGTGCCATAGGTTCGCCACCACTGACCTATACCATCTCAGACAAGTGACTATCTAGTCTCTTTTTAAAAATCTTTAGTGATGGAGTGCCCACAATTTCTGGAGGGCAAGCTATTCCACTGGTTAATTGTCCTCACTGTCAGGAAGTTTCTCCTTAATTCCAGGTTGCTTCTCTCTTTGATCAGTTTCCAACCATTGTTTCTCGTCCTTCCCTTTGGTGCTCTGGTGAACAATGTGATCCCTCTCTTCCTTGTGGCAGCCCCTCAGATACTGGAATACTGCTATCATGTCTCCCCTATTTCTTCTTTTCTTTAAACTAGCCAAACCCAAGTCCTGCAGCCATTCTTCGTATGTTTTAGTCTCCAGGCCTTTGATCATCTTAGTTGCTCTTCTCTGAATTTTTTTCCAAATTCCCACCATCTTTTTTGTGATATGGTGACCAAAATTGGCTGCAGTATTCCATGTGTGATCTTACTAGGGTTTTATAAAATGGTACTAATACCTCGCGTGATCTTGATTCTATGCCTCTGTTTATACAACCCAGGATTGTATTAGCTTTTTTGGCTGCTGCTGCACACTGCTGGTTCATGGTTAAGTGATTGTTCACTAGGATTCCAAGGTCCCTCTCACAATTACTGTTTTTAAGCCAGATCTTGCCCAATCTGTACTTGTACCTTTGCTTTTCTCCACATTGAAACTCATTTTGTTGGATAGGGCCCGTTGTTCAAGATCTTGGTTCCTGAGTTTGTCTTCTGGGGTGTTGGCTACTCCTGCCAGTTTGGTGTCATTTGCAAATTTGATGAGTTCCCCTTCAATTCCCTCAGATGATGAAGTCATTGATGAAAATATTGAAGAGTACTGGACCTAGGACAGAACCTTGTGGTACCCCACTGCTTAATTCTCTCCATGTGGATGTAGTGCCATTGAGGACTACTCACTGAGTATGGTTTGTGAGCCAGCTACAGATCCATCTGGTGGTGATGTTGTCTATTCCACCTTTTTCTAGCTTACCAAGGAGTAGGTTGTGGTCTACTTTATCAAATGCCTTACTGAAGTCTTATACTACGTCCACAGTATTTCGCTGGTCTATTAGTTTAGTCACTTTGTTGAAGAATGAAATAAGATTGGTTTGGCATGATTTGCTTTTAACAAACCCGTGCTGGCTACTAGTTATAACTTTGTTTGCTTCTAATTGTTCACAGATCAGTTTTTTGATTATCTTTGCTAGGATGTTTCCAGGTATTGGTGTTAAACTAATTGGTCTGTAGTTTCTTGGGTCCATTTTTTTTCTTTTCTTGAAGATGGGAACCACATCAGCCCTTTCCAATCCTCAGGTACTTCCCCTTTGCTCCAGGATTTTTGAAAGATGTGGTGCAGTGGTTCTGAGATAACATCTCCCAGCTCCTTTAGAACTCTGGGATGTAATAATAATAATAATAATAATAATAATAATAATAATAATAATAATAATAATAATAATAATAATAATAATAATTTCAAACAGAG